AAAGGTATTATAACAGATTTCATTCAGCGCAGCGTCCTAGGCACTCAACTCGTTTATAAGACCAGCGATCCTCAGACGATTCTTGGAAGTTTCAATGGGCAATTACAGGGTAAGATTCTTCTTCTTCTCGAGGAAATGCCCACGGAAAAAAGCCAGTGGAATAATCTGTATCGCTCTTTAAAGGATAAGGTAACGAGTGACATAATGGAAATCCATGAAAAATACAAGACACCAACACATTATAAAAACTTTATGTCTACTATCGTCCTAACTAACGAAAATGCTCTTAGAGTGGAGAATGATGATAGGCGCACAGTGTTCTTAGATGTGTCACCATCCCGCAAAGGAGACCTCAACTACTTCAAAAAACTCGGTGACGTTATGAAATACCCAGGCGCCAGTGAGGCGTTCTATGCTTACTTAAGAGCCATCACAGACACTTACCCGGACTTCAATGGAAATCCGCCACCCATGACAACATCCAAACAGGAATATATCATCTCGACTCTTCCCCCGCTATTCCAATTTATAAAGGACACATACCTCGTAGTGAAAAATTATATGACCGACCTACCTGTTCAAGAATTTTATAGGGTATATACTTTATATTGTGAAACTCATTGCATTTCACCCCTATCAAAGATAAACGCTTCTAGAATTCTATCAAATGAGTTGGGTATAAAAAGTAAAAAAATGCGTATAGGTAAAACAACACCGCAAGTTTACAGCATATCCAGGGAGGACCTCTACAAGAAATTCCTTGGCAAAAACTGGATTAATGAAACAGACGAGATAAATATAGAAGGAATAGATGTAGATACTCCCGAGAAGCCCACGTCTGATCCCAAAGCCTTAGAGAAGTTCTTGGCAAATATATATAGCATTCCTGCTAACAATTCACAAGACGTACAAGAAAAACCCGCTGAGAAAAAACCCAAACCTGTTATCAAAGAGCAACCGGTTTCCAAAAGGGCGCCTCCACCGCTTCCACCCAAGCCTGACCACTTAAAAGAACGTCAACAAGAGTTAAGGGAAGAACAACCGGATCCCAATGAAGATACTAATGAGTCAGACACCGATGAACCTATAGATAGCTTCTCAGATTGTTATCTATCTGACGAGGAACCTGACCAAGAAGAACCCATCCCCGAGCCAGATGACTACGACATTTTAGACGACTTGTTATCAGACTCGGATTCTACAACCGTGGACCCAGTTCTTGAGCAACAACCCGCAGAATCTTCCACAAAATCCGAATCCCTCGCAGATTCTAAATTTTCTACAGAACCTGTAGTAGTACCGGCTTCCGAAGAGCAACTTATCCCAGAACCCGACACAGAACCAGAAGTTGATCGGGATCCTGAACCAAAGGAAGGTACTCGAGCACACTGGGCTTGGCATGAAAGGCACCGATGGGATCGCAAGCCGTGGGTTAAAAATTCAAAGGACCAGGCCTTCGATGATCTCTACAATACAGGTAAGGAATTATGGGCCAAGTACCAAGACGCGTCAGATGAATACGACTGGGAAATACTCGCGTTTGAAGTAGAGGAATGTCCTACAACGCGTATTGAGGACGAGTACCAGTACTACCTTAGGGAAGTAGTAGACCGCTTCAAGGACTGGATCGAATATAATGGATACTTACCTAAAACACCTAGCCGTAAAGAACTCGCAGATTTAATAAGAGTATACAAGGATAATCGTGATGCCGAGATTATTCCCACCCCCTCTGGGTATGAAACTATGAGGGCAGATAAGGGTAAAGCGCGAGAGATCCCCAAGGAATGTCCAAAAACCGATATGGAACGTGAATGGGAAGCCACCAATGGACTCATCGACGACTGGGATGAAGAGGATCTTGATCGTGTATGCAGCAAGATTGACTCCTTTTAATAAGATAAGCACTTCTTAGTTATCTTATATTTTTTGTATAAAAAACCTATATTACAACTGAACACAATTCATAAATACATCAAATGGTTTATTCAGAGATTGTCCGTGCT